ATAATGAGAATCAAAGCCCTATATTTATAGGGAAGGAATATGGATATATATGATAATAATATCTAGGGCTACAGGGGTAAAAGTGTTATTTACATTAAATCCTAATTTACTTTTCTTTTACAACAACAATAAAATATTTCGTACCTAATTTAAAATTTTTTCATTTTTTTAACCACACATTCTTTAAAAAAAAAAAAAAAATCAATATTTAAAATTCTATTTTCTCGATATAATGGACAGCAGGCACCCCAAAGGTGAACCAATTTACATTGATGCCAAATTGTCCCAATTTAACATAAATTATTGATAAGTCCTGCCACATTATCCAAAAATACTACAAAAAAAGTGAGTACAACACAACAAACTACTCCCAATTTTCACCAACGAACACTCCACATGCTTAATACTGATTTGCAGTCTATCATGGCCCATTCATAAAGTAACAAGTATTTTATATTCAAACCCCACAATTCAAACAAAAGACATGGAATCTTTGTGTAACTTTACCAATATATGCTGTCCACTCATGTTGATATACTTCCAAACGCAATCTTCATGTGAAGTCCCTCGTGATACACGCGTTTGAGAAATGAATAAATTAGAATTGATTTCTGGCTCTCGATGGACAGGTTAAAAACTTTTCAGTACTAATTTGGTAGAGAGAATTGTAAGTATGATTATCTGAATTTATGACGGTTGTACAGAAGGATCTCCTACCACGTCAGCGGTGTAAAGCTTTTATCCTACCAATTATGAGTCAGAGATCAGATCGATGAATAAAATAAAACTTAAGTGAGTATAAATTGTGAGTGAGAATCTTGATAATTGTGTGAATAAAAAATATATTTGATCAGAAGTATTACTTCCATTTTTGGTAGGTTAATGGACTGTATAACATAAGACAATACTTAATAATAGAAAGAAATTAAAATCTTATTCATTTTATTGTCCGGCCTAATGCAAGAATAATACTAAACAACATTAAAGAAGTGAATTTTATGAGATGTATGAATAAAAAATATGATTGATCACAAATGATTAAATTATTATTACTTCCACAAACGTACAATTATGTCATGTTTAGTAGGTGAACGAGTTCAATAATACCGAACAATATTAAAAAGAGAGAGAAATTAAAAATCTTATTCATTGCATTGTAAAAGTACTCCCAATGCATATCAATGCAATTGAGGAACTGGAAAATACAACTATTTTTATGACAATAAACTGAATCAAGAAAACATTTTCTTTAGGCCTTCTCTGAGAGCAACATTTGTAACGCTGTAACCCCCATCAATGACTAGATTCTGCCCACTTACATACTTGGATCCATCACTGGCCAGGAACAGTGCAGCCTCAGCTATGTCATTTGTCTCTGGGATTGTCTCTTTCAAATTTGCTATTTCATGTACCAATTCCTCCACCTTCTCCTTTCCTGTGTCTTTGAACCCAGTCATCATCATTGGTGTAGCAATAGCAAAGGGAGAAATGCAATTGACTCTAATTCCATGCTTTCCCAATTCAACACACAAATTCTTTGTAAACCCTACTACTGCAGTTTTGGATGTAGCATAAGCATGAGGAATATCCCAATAAACCACAGAGGCGACACTAGAAGTAAAGATAATGCTCCCTTTCTTGGCTGGAATCATTACCCTTGCAGCGTGTTTGGCGCATAGAAACATGCCAAAAACATTAACGTCGAAAACCTTCTTGTAGTCTTCATAGTCGGTGGCCAAAATTGAGGTGTCGCCCTTGCCGGGGATACCAGCATTCCCAAACATTATGTCTAGTTTACCGTACTTGGAAACAGCCGTGTCCACTGCATTTTGTACATCGGTGTCATTAGTTACGTCGCAGTGGACATAGGAAATGACTTCTGGAGATCCTATGCTTTCGCACACCGCCTGGCCTAGTTTATCTTGGAGATCAGCAATTACAACCTTAGCGCCATGTTTGACGAAAAGCCTGGCCGAGGTTTCCCCTATGCCACTGGCGCCACCAGTTATTACAGCAACCTTGCCTTCTAGCCTGCAAAATGAACAGGATATTTCTTAGACTTTATTAAGTTGAACACACTTCATGAATTACCGGCGTAGGATAATAATTACCTGTTTGTCATTTATCCAGAAACAAAGAACCCTCCAGTGGATTTCTTGTAGAAAATAAGACTCCTCTCGGATGGAAAATAAAAGGATCTTGATCTCATATTATATATATATATAACATATCAAGGAAAAATATGGACCATTCATTTGATTGGTTGGAGTCACTCACTGGACGAAGTGGTTGGATGTTGCATTTATTCTATTGTAAGTGTATGATATCGTAACAAATAATATAGTGGACCTTTGAGTCAGGATTATCGTTCCCACGATGACTATACTTTAGAATTTAATCAGATTTTTATAACTCTTATTTGGTGAAAATAAACAAAGAATTATATGTTGTGAATTTTTGGTTTAAATAATTAACTAAAATGCACACAAAGATTGATTGAGATTTCAAATAATGAACGGATACTACGGTCGAACAATTTCACATACTGATCACCTTTAAATCTTAATTCAACATTCAAAAGTCTAACATAGTGTTCGATCGAATTCTTCTATTATATTCAATTTACCTTTCTCGAATTCTCATTGAGTCTATTTAAATAATTCAATCTCATATCTCTATGCGAGTCAACATTAGTTAAACGAAATATTAGTTCTAAGTATTCATATAATGATCGCAATATTTGGTATATGTATCTCTACACGTTATACTAATAAACAGAATTTTACTATATTGTCTAAATCTCAAAATCATCTCTCGATTCGTAAAAAAAAAAAATAATCACAAAATCAACGCATTAAACTCACAGTAAAATCAACACATGTATGATAAAATAACAAGAATTTTGAATAAAACAAAAATATAGGATTTCAAATAAATTACATTATTCGTACTAATATAAAATTTAACTATTCATCATGTAAAAAGAAATACATCACCGAGTATTGAATAAAGATGTAGGAAAATGAAATTAATCTTACTCTAAGATCTTCTTCCTCTTCCAATCAATGCTTCAAAACTTGAATTTCTTGACGTTCTTCTCCCTTGCATTGCGTTCTTCAATCTCTAGTTGTATTCTCTTTCTCTCAACGTGTGGAACCCTTTAAAAGTGCCAATAACTTGTATTTATACTCCTCCAACGTTTGTGTGAATGTAGGGTTTCTTGTGGGCTTGAAATTGGATTGAAAAATCAGACTCCTGTCATATATAGGCGGCTCCGCAACGCTGTCACAATTCCCTATGGCACCGAGCGCCACACTTCTGTTCCTCTCTAAACTTCATGGCACTACGATGCTGCACCTTTGGTGTGCTCCCATCGTAGCACCGAGGCGCCACTTTGCTTTCCTTGATATTGTGATTTGACTCTTTTGCCCATTTCGTTCTTCTTTTTACCTTGATCCATGCCAATAGCCTCGTTTTCTCTTTTCTTTCCTTGATTTGTACCATCTTACCACTTCTACAAAACAACATTAATAAATACATTAAAAACGCTCACTACTCGTAATATGTAGCTCATAATTAAGTTAATAATTGAATAAAACTTTTGAATAATACACAATCGT